ATGAAAACATTTCTATAATATTTTTGCAAAGTTAATAAAAGTTTGTCATAGCACTTTATGACTGCTATTAAAGGTTAATAATGGCATAATTATGTAATATTTAATAGTGTTTAGCATGACTAAAAAAAACGCTATAAAAAGTAAGGTATTTTCCCTAACATCGACTACCACAACGTCTGAAAAAACGCTATGAAATCTTTATAATAGCGTTAAAATGATGCTACATAAAATGCTATGGAATATCAACTATAGCGTACGTGACAAGCTATAAAAGGTCTTCCATAACATTTTTTAAAGCTATATAAAGTTTAAAATAGTATTTTCATCAACGCTATGGATAGAATTTATAACATTGCATACATGCAATTAATTATAAGTGAACTTTCTATAACGTTGAGTATAGCATGCCAAAAAAAACGATTATGGAAAGTCTCGCATCGCCTACGATCGCGTCTAAAAACACTATTACCATCTATGATGAAGTTTTTTTCGACGCTATTGTATGTGATATTTGTTGTAGTGTGTGGGTACACCTTGGGTTATGAGAAAACACAATTGGTTGGATCCTGAACCAGTAAAAATGATCGTGGGTTTCTCTTTAGCCTATGATAAAAAAGAGAGTCGATTGGTTTGTTTCTCTTTAGCCTATGATAAAAAAGAGGGTCGATTGGTTTGGTTCTCACCCGTAAGAGAGCCGACACAGTAAAATACCCAAGAAGGAGTCTTGGGGAGTGGAGTAGAGATTTCCGAACCACTATAAAAATTCCTGACGTCATCTCCCTCTCTACTCTTTAATATGTGCATTTAAATTTTGTTTGATTTTTGTTATTCTTAAAATTATTTTTTTAAAATCTTAAAGTTGGTACGCAACCCTATTAACCCCCCTCTAGTGTTCTATATCGATATATCGTACACTTCTGAGCCATCAAGGAGTCCGAGCATTGCAAGGGGATCCTCGTCAATGAGGCCCTCCCTGGCGTGGCCCGGAGCTCTCCTTCAGCCATTAGTAATTCCAACCAAATGTAAAATCATAAATTTGTAGAGATAAATAAGCAAAAACTTTTTATATACAAGCTCCCATGTTCATAAGTTTAAAATCATTAAAGTTATTAAAAATACTTTTTCAAAGTTGTAACTTTATATATATTATAGATTAGAGATATAAAATTGTACTTAAAAGACATAAAACAAGGCAATAGTGATCACAACAGTGAAGAGAACACATATAGATTACATAAGATATATCTTGGGTCGACCAAATTTATTTATGATGGCTAGTAGCCTTATTTAAAGATTATAACTAGGAACATAAGTGGAATCGACCCAAACAACATCAGCTTAAAGTGGTTCATCTTTGGCCTCATACTTGAAGTTGTAGCAATTGGCCCCAGTGTACAGACCATCTTCATATAATTCAATCACTGTTTCCCCATTCATAAGAACGTCACGTTGATAATACGAGAAGGGGACATCACAGTAACCTTGTGTTGCTAATAGACTGACAGTCATCTTAGTCATTGGTGGCACAACTACGGTGTGTGTAGTCTCTATCTCATCTGTTGTCTCTCGAGTTTCTCCCCAAGTGTATTCTCCTGAAAACTCTGCAGAAATGGTGACTCGGCCCTGTGCAATCACTGGAATACCAGCTCTGAAGGTTGCCTTCACGCCAAGCTTGGCTGAAAGAGTGGAAGACCATGTATTAGTCACCCTATTGGTATAGGAGAACCTAATAGTTATTGTGTTCGGTTCATTGGTATTATTAACAGCATTGCCGTTGGCCATGGCGATGATATTTTCGCCATATATTCGTGCATCGAAAAGATGAAAATCTACGTTATAGATGCTTCTTGAAAGAACAAGCTCATGTATCTCCATGCGTGCCTCATTAGTTATGGTGGAAACCCAAGCATTAAGGCAATCTGTCTTGCCTTCCGTTGTGAGCCCTATGCAAAAATGATTGTTACCTAAGTTGCGAAGTGCCACTATATTGTTAGCGACTTTCACAGGCTTAAATAAGGTATGTTTGTTATTTGCAGTGGGGTCAGTGGAATCTGCCCAAATCCAATTAGGACTGAGTCTCCAAAATTTACCAAAGTGGTTCGACTTAATACGAACATCCCCATGCCTTGTGAATGAAACCTCATTTCCTACTGCTGGGTCTGCCATGTCATTCGCAGAAAATTCTTGATACTCGTGTCTTTGAAGCCATATTGCTTTAAGGAACTTGCCTCGATTACCACCTTTGAATGCAACGTGTTTGGGAAAAATAAAGAATGATTCCCAATCCATAACAATATGAAGGTCACCAAAGTTACGGGGTGGAGCTGAAGATGTCATGATGAATAAGCATTCATTATGAATTGAACCATCCCTCGAACTACATGTGTTGAACCCAAGTTGGACATGCTTAATTCGGTATGCTTGATTGCCAGAATCATGGATGGGTTCAAACAACGTACATGACCAATTGGATTCATCTTCATTTGGCTCATCAGCTGCTGCAACCACGTACCGAGAATTCATGGAAGGGCGAACCCAATATTTGTTGCTGTAACAACACCTTATATTCACATACCTTTTCCCAACTTTTGCAGGCTCCACTTCATACTTTGTGTAAGGTGTTACCACATCATGTGAGTCATACTTCACATATCCATGAATTTGAACATCTTCTTTTACGAACCTCAAATATAAGTCATCTGCCAAAGATCTCAAACCCACGTACTTTGGGAGCAAGGCCATTTCTCTCTTTCTTGCTAACTTTTCACTCTTTGCTGTGCTTCAAACCTCAAACTCAAACTGACTATTTATACATAAATTATTGCCTCTCAGCTAGTTGGGTACACAAATTACACACTACTAAATCATATATCATGTTTTTTTACAACAAATGTGTTGAATAGGAGAACATTGAATGCCTCCAAGCTAAGATACAATAAATGTGTCTGTTTCATATAACTTTATGTGGTTTGGTAATTAAAACAATTGAACACATCTCATCATTACATGTATGTCATCCTAGATGTTAAATTTATAACATTAACTTCAAAATGGGAGCAAAAGTGGTATATGGAGTTGTGTTATGGATAGGAAAAACCCTATTTTCTATCCTTTGAATTCCCTTTATTTAAATTTAAAGAATTAAAAGGCTCGAAAAGAAAATAATCATAATCGAGGTATGCCACAAAACTCTACTATTTGCTACGCTTTTCATAAAACTCCAATTCTGACTTAAGCATCGAAATGTGTGTGGCTGGCACCACACTGGTGTGTAACCTTTGTATTTTGCAGGGTTCATCGATTCCTTTCATTCTAGAAGATTAGATTGGTGCAAATTTGGTAGATTCCAAATGACCAAATTTCAGCATCAACGAAACAACCACAAATGTAGTATAATTTAGATATGTAATATTAAAAAAATAGCACCTAATAGAAAACTTTTACGAATGTAGAAAATTTAAAATATAAGAATTATTTTTAATACAACAAATATAGGTGAGGGAATGAACCTCCAACCTTTAGGAAAGGAAGAAGATCAATGAATGGTTGAGCTAAGCTGGGTATGATTGGCAAATTAAAATTGAAGAAATAGTGATTATTGTTGATCATTATATCCGTATATCAACGTTTTGATAGGACTGCAGTTAATAAATATTTTACTTTGAATATCTTAGAACCTCTGTTGGCAACAACTATAGTAGGATTAGATGCTTAAACCTAGGGGTGCACAACCAAACCGATAAAATCGATGAAACCGAAAAATCGAACCGAAAACCGAACTGAATTTTCAGTTTTTACAGGTTTGCGGTTCGGTTCGGTTTAATAAAATAGTCAAACCGAAATTTCAGTTCGGTTTCAGTTTCAAGAGTCGAAAACCGATATTAAAACCGAACCGAATATATAATTATATATAGATATTATTATTATTATTTATATTATACAACATTTAAAGGCATGACACAAGTGCCAATGCCACCTCGAATCCCTCAAGACAGCTGCCACCTTGCATGCAGCCTTTGATTTAATGGTTGCTGGCTTGCAGCTTTATATTAATTTTTTTTTTCAAAATTTTTTTATTCACTTTCTTCAATCATTTTTCATTCTTTTTTTCTTCCATTTCCCTCCCCATTTGGTTTCTTCCTTCTCCAATTTCCCTGCCTTTTCTTTCTTCCTTCTAATTTCTCCCTTATTACCTTCATGACTGTGCTGCGACCACCACGGTTGCTACCAATCACCGCTCCAACCTCGCCACTACCATCTGCCAACTCCGCCGCTGCCGACCATCAACTCCGACCTCGTCTCTGTCATCTACCAACTCCGTCGTTGCCAGCCACCAACTCCGACCCCTTTGATGCACAAGTCAGACTTCGGTGAAAACAAGAAAAAAGTGCACTTGAAATATACGCCGCTTTTCTAGCCCAGAAACCGACTAAACCGAACCGAACCGAACCAAATTTCGGTGTGGTTTGAAACTTTCTTCTTTTCAAGTTTCGGTTTCGATTTGACTCTAAAACCGAACCAAACCGAATCGTGAATACCCCTGCTTAAACCCTCACCAAGAGGACAAAAATTAGGCTAAAATACCATTTTTATCCTTGTACTTTAGAACTTATTCTATTTGAGTGTCTGTACTTTCAAATATCTAGATTTAGCCCATGTACCTCAACAAATCTTAAAAGTAGTTGTCTATTGTTTGTTTATGTTTAACTTTCCATTGGAAATTTTAGTTTGTGCCGGTGGTCTTCGCTCTATAAAATTTTGGAAACGTATTCACACCGTCTCTTTCAAAAACCTGACGAAATTTGACGTGGCTTTTGAGTTGTTAAATGGAGTAGCGACAGACGTGACTTTCAAAATATATATATATGAATGCTAAACACGGGGTAAATTGGCAATTTAAATTGTTTTCACTTATTTGCTTTTATTAATGACCGAAAATATTGTTGATTATTAATAGTTTTTATTGGGAGTTGTTTATTATTAATGACCGCAAAAGTTTTGCATTATTCTGGACTTTTTATTATTATTATTATTATTTATTTGCTCTCATTAATTTTTTTTTCTTGTGGGTTATTTTTTGATTTTTTCCCACAACTGTTTCTTCCATCCGACAACCTTTTATTACTTTTTTCTTCTTTCTTTTCTTTTTTTTCCTCCCTATTTACTTTTTCTTGATTTTCCCTGCCATTCGACTCTATCACTATTTTCATCCTAATATCTCTTTCAACTTTTGATTGGTATTTCACGGGCAAAATTAGGGTGTTTTAAAAACGGTAACTTTTCACTTTCTCATCGAATAAAATCGAATAAAAACTAAAAATACGTTGATTTATTTTGCCATATCTTGCTTTTGTCATGACCTAATTACAAATTTAATATGAGATGTTCATGCATTAGGATATGTTTTCTTTGTTTATTTTATTTTGTTTATTCCTTTGTCTTTATTTCTATTATGATCGATTCATTTGTAATGGAAACATTCTTGGATTCTTGAGGATAAAACTCAAAATTCCAAGAGGCTTAAATTTGATTTTGAATATGTTTTCTAAAGAAAATGTACAATTTAAATTGATATTATTTATCCCCATGTTTTGGTTAAAAAAATAATTAAATTACTAATACAAATTGTTTGTATTTTATTTTTTCCTAAAAAAATTATCTGTGTGAACAAATAATTATCTTTTCTTTAAAAAATTGAAAAAAGATGTATTTCGTTTTTGTAATTTTTTTTATAAGGAAAATTTTGTTGTTAAAGAAACGTTTAAATTATTAAAAAAAAAAACAGAATTTCTATACAGACATTTCCTCCATGATATTTAAACACCCCCTAAATTTCCCAACAGTAAACCATGACAAAAGTTCAAACCTCATGCCAGGCTTTCTTACGATTTTTTTTTCTTTTTATACACTTTTGCAATTTTTAAAAATATATGTTTTTCAAGTAATTTTAAATTTTATGTCCAATTATGTCTATAATTTGGACTATCCATTCTTTTTTAATAAATTTAAATTGATAACTTTGAAGTGTCGTAATTTTTATTTTCTATTCAAATTTATTTTAATTCACTCATCCATTTAAACCAAAAAAAATTGCTAATATAAATATTGTTCAAAGGTTAAGACATCCTACTTCTTGTCGAGAGATGGGAAGTTTAATTCATTTCCACATTAGTTGTACTAAAAAAAATAAAAACACAAATTTAAATAGAAAAATACAAAAAAAAAAAATTCACTAATTTAATAAAAATAAAGTTTCTCAATTTAGTTTGATTAATGCACCAAATCCATTATTAAATAACTCTACTAAAACTTACAAATCTAGATTAAAAAACTCAATTCTAATGTTGTTTTTGTTTAAATCATGTTAATTCCATACCAAATATGTGTTTTCTAGCTCATTTGACACATTTAAGAATAGCTTTTTCAATTCTCTCTAAAGAAGAATAGTTTTCAAAAAATTTTCAAATGAAAATTTATCAACGGGTAACATTTGACACTTTTTAGAGTTAAGTCGAAGATCGCATTGTTAACCCATCTCCACATTTGTTTTGTATTATTTAACTCACCTCCACTTCAATAGTTTTTCTAAATTATATGAGAATAATATAGAAAAAACGTAATTCATGAGAATAAAAATTATTTATATAATGAATAATACAGAAGAAACGGGATTCATGAGAATAAAAAGTTATTTATAAAAATAATAATATAGAAAAAATAGGATTGATGAGAAGACAAAGTTATTTATAGAAAGAATAATATAGGAAAAACGTGATTCCTGAGGGAAAAAAAAGTTGTTTATGGAAAGAATAATACGGGAAAAACATTCATTCAAAAAAAAAAATACAGGAAAAACATGATTGATGAGAAGAAAAAAGTTATTTACAGAGAGAATAATATAGAAAAAACATGATTGATAAAAAGAAAAAGTTATTTATAGAAAGAATAATATAGAAAAAAACATTATTGATGAGAAGAAAAAGTTATTTATGGAAATAATAATATATAAAAAACATGATTGATGAGAAGAAAAACGTTATTTATAGAAAAAATAAGAATAAAAAGTTATTTATAGAAAAAATAATATAATAATAAATGTATGTTTTGCTACAATTAATCAACCACAAAAAAGTAATTTATGAGAATCACGTTTTTTTCTACATTATTCTTTCTAAAAAAAACTTTTTCTAATAATGAATCATGCTTTTTTTTCTATATTATTCTCATATACCAATATTTATACTTTCATATGTCAGAAATATATATATATATATAGCAGCTAAAAAATAATTACGAATATAGAAAAAATAAAATAGAAGAATCAGTAGTTATCGTGGATCATTATATGCTTATATCAATCTTTTGAAAACATCATATTTTTTCCTTTTCTTTATTTATTTATTTATTTTTTCCTTTCTAGATTGATAAGGCCACAGTTCTTGTTGCTCGTCAAAGCCGTAGCTTGCTGTCTATTAAACGAGCCTTCACAGCCCGCCCGACCTCTATCTTTTTGAATCTTAAGTAAAGTTTGTCATTGATTTACCATGCATAAAATAAATCAATATACTAATTACTATTATTTAAGAATATGAACGATTTGGAAATTTAAAAAACAATTACCATATTTGCAATTATTATTTTAAAATTGATATACTTTTTTAATTACTTTCCAAATATACATATGAAAGTTTAATATTATTTTATTTTGGTCCTAAAACATCTGTTTTGGTACTTGAACTTTA